GATTGAACGAGGCCAATGAGTTTGGTTTAGCAACAGCCCTGGGCTGAGACTAGGCTTAAATGAGATCTTCATTGAAGAAGTCAATTCTCCCATTTTTATCTTCATTTTGGCTTGAAGTTTTTGGTTTTATGCCATCCTCCAGTGGACTGAAAAGCTTTTTCAAAGGATGTTTCATTCCGTGGCCTCACCTGCGCTGGTTTAATCTCTCCACTCTGGTTAAAAGGACAAATCAGAAATCTGCCATTGATTTCAACAACCTTCATCCACCTCACACTGAATTTCAGAGCATGACTTAATTATGATATAATCAAGCTTCTGTTTGGCAAATCACAGAAATTCAACCCCTGATATTTTCTGCTGGGAACTCCTTTCTTTCCTGAGTTTCAGATCTTCTGATTTACTCCCCTTTTAATGTCTCAACTTTTATAATGCTCTACATCCCCTGGCTCTGCTTTCAGGACATTCAATATCCCAGTGAGTGCATCCTTTGTGGATTTTAAATATTTCTGAGTCTCTATTATGCCCTGCCAAAATGTTATTAGTTAAAAAAAAAAAAACCTCTCAACAAGAAGGGACAACAAAATATTTGGGTTTGGCAGGATGTTTATGATGTTCCCCAATTCCAGATTAGAAATTCAAGGAGGTTTCATGATTCTCCTTTAATTGTACCCTGATTAAAATTTCCATTTTTCAGCTCTTTTTTTTTTTTTTAATGATGAGAGAAACTCATCTTTTTTTTGAGGAGAGAAAATCTGGATTCTTACTCTGGGACATTGATAAATCACTCAGACAGAAAGTGTTTGACCTTTAGAGATGATCAAATTAAGATTGTGAGTTCTCTGTTCAGATTTTCTCTCTTGATTCATTCATAGATAAATTTACTTTAAACACTTCTTTGTTTTTCCTCCCCCCCCAGCTTTGCAAGGCTTTACTCATTCATTTTGAAAAACATTTATTCACAGAAGCCAGGCTCTCTTTTCACTCCGGGCTGGCCTTTTGCTCATTTTCTCGCTTGGTAATTTTTGCAGTCCTAACATCAGGTACATTTTTATACCAAAATCACTTCATTCCCCAAAGCTCCATCTGCCTTTCCAGGCTCTCCAGATTTTCCCTCTCCCCTCAAGATAAAATATTCATTTATGTTGCATTAGTCTCTTTTCTGACATAGAGATGGAGTAACTGAGAGGCTTTTTAAAAACTTTTATTCTATTTTCAGTCTCATGTAAAAGGTGAGGCAATACAGATATTATAATCCACGCCATTACAATTAGAAGCTATTTCTTAATTACAATACATTATAAGAGTTACTTATAATACTTATATATTATTTTATATATTATATATTATTATATATATTATATATATAATATAATACATATAATTTTATATATTATATATTATATTATATATTATATATATTATATAATACTTATAATACATTTATATATACACTTATAATGTATTGTAATACAATAAACTCCTTTTCACTGCACCAATCATCTAAGATTTATTTTCTTTCCAAGCTCCTGTTGTCGTGTCCTTCCTGGGCAATTCTTTGCCCTCTCCATTGTTGCATTTCTGACCCAATCCAGTCTCTCTGCACTTGTGGGGCTCTCCCTTGTCCCTCCTGTCTCCAAGTTAACACCGTCTTCTCCAACCCCTCTAACAATTCCTGAACTTCTGGGGGATTTTTACCCAAAATTTTAGATGGGGATTTTTAACTTTAAAACGTATAGCAAGTTTTATATTTATAACTCTCTTATTTCTTTAATTTTCATGTGGCTCCAGTTGAGACGTGCCCAGACCCATGAAAAATCTACAACTTCAGATTTCCAGGGCTGATAACCCCTGCAGGCCAAAATTCTTTGTTTGCTTTTTGCCTTTGCCTTTTCCTTATTTAACATCTCTGACTTTTCCTTCCGTGCTCCCTTTAAGATTCCAAGTGCATTGAGCCCAAAATCACTCCAGAACACCAACTTGAGTTTTGGGTATCCTTCACTCAGCCAAATCCCTCACTTCTGCTTCATTTTGAGTCTGAGGGTGGGGAAAATTTCAATCTAGGAGATCACCCACCTTAAATAACCATTTGGGTGCTGAATACAAACCAAATGTGTCTTGTTCCTTGAGGAATTGCTCCTTGAGGAGAAACACAAGGCACAAATGAAACTGGAATTTTTATTCCCTGGAGTGCATCGGCACAGTCGCTCCTGCTCTGTTTGGGATCTGGTTTTGGAGGTGTTTCATGGTAACAAAAGCTTTACCTGGGTCCCAAATTACACAGTCTCCTCCCAGTCCCAGTTTTGCCCGGATAATCTGTATGGAATTGGGATTTATTGCACAAATGGGTTCCTGCTCTTCACCCCAGCAAGGAGGAGATGAAAGTTGGGGCTCCCTGGGCTGAGTAATTTGGAAAAATTTACCATATTGGCTTTGCCATATTGGCAGAAAATACAAATTATTTTCCATAATGAGACACATCTGAGGGAGACACTGACAGAGCTGGGAGGATTTGGGCTGATCCCCCTCAAATCCAGCAGGATGCCATTCCCAAATCTCCTGCCCTTTCCTCGAGGCCTTTGGCTCTTGTTCCCCTGGCCTGATGCTCTGACTTTTCCCACTGCTGGCATTTGTTCCGTGGCTGTAATTCGGAGCTGGAGAGCCTTGAAACCATTTAACTGGTGGAAGTAAATTGCTTGGAGCACTGTGAAAATATCGTTGAGACTGTGTGGTTTTTAAACTCCTTTTCACTGCACTGTGCTCCTGAATTATTTCCAGCTGCTTCCAGATGCTCCTCGTTGCCTTGCAATAGGAAATGTGCAGATACTGCCCCAGCCAGGTGCTGATTGTGGGCTTGGAGATAAGAAAAGAGCTCCCCAAGCTCTGCTGTGAGCTGTTATTGGTGGTATTCCTTGAATTAATTATCATTATGTGTTGGGAGGTGGATTCACTTGGGTTTATCTGAGGTTTGTTTCAGAAATGCTGTGCGTCAGAGCACGGATAAAGCTTTTTTTTTGTGCTTTATCTGTGAATCAGGGGAGGTTTCCAGGTGACTTGGAGGTCTCTCCCACACAACACAGAGAGTTCTGCCGAAACTTCCCATGGAACAGGCAGCTGCATTTGGGGCTGATGCAAATTCCAGAGTTCTCAGAGCTGGGGATGCTCCATCCCTTCAGGAAGCTGCTGCCCCAAACATTAATCCTGTCCTGTCCTGGCTGCTGACAAAGCTGAGCACAGAGCCACGGAAAAGAATAAAATTCCCTCTGTTGACAGAGACCTGGGAACGGCCACAGAAACCCAACCTTGCCTTGGCTTCCACCAGCCAAGCCCAGAGAGGATTGGGGCTCTGCCTCCGAGTATTTTAAGCTTAGAACAGACTTTGTTTTGATGTATTTTCATGATAACCTGAAGGGAAAAACACCATGAGCTGAGGGTGTGAAGTGAGCAGGGCTAAATCACTTTCCTGGATGTCATCTCACCCTTTCCCCCATCCAAAACTTCTACGTGTGAACTTATTCCCAGAAAACTCCTGTCAGTAGAAGCAGAATGAGAACTCACCAGCTCTCCTTTGCTGTTGCTCTATTACCTCCAAAAATAGATTGTTTTTAACTTTTATGAGCGTTTAGCTTGTCCTGGCTGGATGAGAAGGACATGCCAATGATAATAGAAAAAGGCCTGTTAATTGATTTTAAATACTGGTGGTCTTGAGTGGTACCAGAATTAATGACAATGATCATATATTTCTGCAGCCCTTTTCATCCCAGAACTCCTCACAGAACAACTTCCAAATTATTCCAAGGGAAGAGCAGCCAAACCTGGGGTAAAATATGGCAAGGATGGTTTTCCAATTGCAACAGCAGCAGGAATATTGGGAGAAGGGATTACTGAAGCTGGAATTTGGCCAGATTCCTTGGATTTACACACTTTTACAATATTTTCTGGACTTTTAACCGCAGATAACCATCTGCAGTGCCTGTCTGCTGCTCTGCTCTGAGCTGAGTGTCAAAAATAGCCTGCCCAGGGTGATATTTTAGCAAGCAAAGCCTGCAGGGTATTAATAGATGCTGAAAGGCTCTGCTCTCCCCAAACCACTAAGGACAGCTTTGCAGTTTCAGGGGTTTTCAAGTGGTTGGAGTCCTCAGGACTTGTTTGTGCCATGGGAATTCTCAAACAGCCCTCCAAGACAGGCTCAGCCTCTTGATCATCTCTTCCATTTTCTTCAAAATATACAAAAAGAAAATCTGGCAGAGGTGTTGTTTGCTTCAGGATTTCTCAGTGTTTCCTTGGGGAATTGTTGTCCAGGGGATTTGATTTGTACACGCCTGGGTGTGTGGTGTTTGCAGGGACAGAGGGGTCTCAGCTCCCTTGTCCTGCCCCTGTTTTCCTGCTACCCTGGATTTGTCTGCACGGATGTCCCTGCCTTCCCCTGCACTGCTGAGAATTCCAGATTGCTGATCTCCCAAAGGCTGATTTTTCCTGAGCAAATGGGGGAAATTTTTGCATTTATGCTGAATCTTTTACTTATTTTCTGTGCCAAGGTCAGGATTAAATGTGCTAGAGGGTATTTCTTGCTGGGACTCAGATGTTTATCAGTTCTGATCTCTGTCACAGTCTCACAAACCCTGAGTCCTGCAAAACTTCACTCTAACAAACTAAAAGTGGAGCCCTCTCTCTCTCTCTCTACAAGGCCTTTTAATGATAAACTGTCCAATTAAGAAATGACACCTAAATTATTTTCACTTTTAACCCAATAACCAACCACCCATGGCTGCAATGGGGACTTTTTTATCCAATTACACAAAACCACCCAAAACCATGGAGAAGAAGGTGAAGAAGAAGAAGCAGCCTTCACCCTGAAACCTCCATCTTGATTTATATCTATTACTGCATTCTAAACCCTTAAACTCTGAGTTTTCCCCCCTGTGATATCACACACTTCTATCCAAACTCCACCCCCACAATCCCAGTTCCACCATTCCATTTTGGAAGGTTCTCCACGGCCTCAGGTCAGTGCAGTGTTCTCCTGGGGGTCAGTGCCGGGCAGCACAGAAAGTCCCAAATTCTCAGCAGCATCCAGAACTGCAGCACATTTCCTCCCTCCTGGTGATGGGGTTGGTTCTCAGCACTGTGGGGTCACTTCCCATCCTGGGACTGTGGCCTCACTGTGCCCTGTGTGGGTTTGGAGGGTCCTGGTGGGATTTTAATTCCTAAAGATTGATTCCCCTTCTGCTCCTGCAGAGCACCGAGCCCACAGTGATCCCTTCATTCCAGCAGCACTGCGTGGCTCAGACCTGCACACACCCCACGTTTTCTAAAGATGAATTTCATTAAATCTTTCCTTTTTTTGCTGGATTTTCCTTATTAGATGGGAAAAAATTTCCATATTTGATATTCAATGAAGAGTACATATCCACTGAATATCAAATATGATATTGATATTGTATCATTGAATATCACAACACCGCTCTCCAACTGGGGCAAAGGTGTGGAATTCCACCAGGGCAGGTTTTTAACTGGTGCAGAAAGGCAGAATTCTCTTGGCTTTTCTCTTCACACTCCCCAGGTATGGATTCCAGCCACGCAATTCCCTCCAGCTCTTCCAAGGATTAAAAAAATCAAAGTTCCAGTGAGCACGAGGCTCTTCCAAAGGGGCTGATCCTCCTGTTTGTTTGGACGTGCCCTTATCTCCCTGCCAGGACCTCACCCCCCAGGGCAGCTGTGGCATCACCGGTGGCCACTCTGCTTCCTGAGGATTTTAACCCCTGTCAGAACCACTTAGCGATTCCCTGGGATACCCTGAGAACTCCTGGGGTGTCCCAATTTTCTCTTTGGAGGCAAAAAAAATTGTGGTTTTTTTCTGCCTTGTTGATGCTCACTAAACAAATAATGAACAGCCAAATGAATCAGTGCAGGCATCAAATAGAAATTGTTAAATTCTGTGTGCTGATGGTGTAAAATCTTAAATAAAAATGCTAAATTCTGCATGCCCCAGGATGTTAAGAGTTTGAAATCCTAAATAATAATTGTTAAATTCTGTGTGGCCCAGGATGCTGAGAGCTTAAAATCCTAAATAAGAATATCAAGTTCTGTGAGGCTCAGGGTACTGAGGGCTTAAAATCTTAAATCAAATTGTTAAATTCTGTGTTGCCCAGGATATTAAGGGTTTAAAATCCTAAATAATAATTGTTAAATTCTGTGTGGCCCAGGATGTTAAGGGTTTAAAATCTTAAATTAAAAATGCTAAATTCTATGTTTCCCAGGATGCCCTGATCTTCTTCCCTCTGTTGGACCTGAAGCATTGCACTGTAAATTAGAGATTCTCAGTGGGAGGAATAAATTTGGGTACAAAACTCAACATTTGAGCGAATTGTCTTTGTTCCAACTGAGTTTTCTTGTGAATTACAGACCAAAATCTCTGCTGGAGCAGGAATTATCTTGTGTACAACTTCTATTGAAACAGCTCTCCTACACAACCAAAACAACGACTCCCAGCACCCTGAAATGAGCAGATTATTGAATTATTTCTGTGAATAAAGGCGAAGAATGGCCCGTGCATGGCTCCAGCAGCATTAACACACAGAGCTGCGCTGATGCAGCCGGGAGCTGAAATATTGACCAGAAGAAATAACTCCGAGGCAGAAATGAGGCTGGCTAAAAGCAGGGCTGTGCTTTGGAGCAGCCCTGGTTGCCCCCCTGGCCTGCTTTGCTGTCATTAATAAAGGCAAAAGCGAGAGGTGGGGCCACATGTGGTGTCAATAGACTTTAATTAAGTGTAATAATTCCCCTTTTCCTGAGGTGGACGTGCTAAGACAGATTTCTCTGCGGAGATTTATGCCGGATTGCTGGGCTGGCTGTCCCTTGTGCTGTGCAGAGCATCAGTGCCCTCTTTGGGAACACCGGGATGCTGCAGGGATCTGCAGGGATCTGCAGGAATATGCAGGAATTGTCAGGGATCTGCAGGAATCTGAAGGAATTGTCAGGGATCTGCAGGAATATGCAAGAATTTGCAGGGATCTCCAGGAATCTGCAGGGATCTGCAGTAATATGCGGGATTTTGTAAGAATCTGCAAGAATCTGAAGGGATCTGCAGGAATTTGCAGGAATCTGGAGGGATTTGCAGGAATTTACAGGAATTTGCAAGAATCTGCAGGAATATGCAGTAATTTGCAGGAATCTGCAGGAATTTGCAGGAATCTGCAGGAACTTGCAGGGATCTGGAGGAATCTGCAGGAATTTGCAGGAATTTGCAAGAATCTACAGGAATATGCAGTAATTTGCAGGAATCTGCAGGAATTTGCAAGAATTTGCAGGGATCTGCAGGAATCTGCAGGGATCTGAAGTAATATGCAGGAATTTGCAAGAATCTGCAGGAATATGCAGGAATTTGCAAGAATCTGCAGGAACTTGCAGGCTCTGCAGGGATATGCAGGAATATGCAGAATTTGCAGGAATCTACAGGAATATGCAGGGATCTGCAGGAATCTGCAGGAATTTGCAGGAATTTGCAAGAATCTGCAGGAATCTGCAGGAATTTGCAGGATGGGGCTCCCGGCACTTCCCCACATCACTTCCCAGAGGGTTTTATGATTTTTCTCCCCCTGGAGCAAAGATTCCTTTCAATTTGAGCTCCTTAACATAAAAAAATGCAGGAAAGTTTTAGCTGGGCTTCAGTGGCTCTCAGAGAAACCATAATGGGATCAATAATTAAATACTTTATTTATATCATCATCATCATCATCATCATCATCATCATCATCACTTTATTGTGTTATTGTCTTTTTTTCTGTTCAGGTTAGCATTGGGATTGGAAGTGTTTCAGATGGTGTTTTGAGTTTAGATTTAGATCTAAACACAAAATTACTGTTTTGATCTATAAAATATCTATCTATCTATCTATCTATCTATCTATCTATCTATCTATCTATCTTTATATTTATTTAAAATATTTTATCTATATGTATATTATAATATTTCTCTCTATTTATCTATATTATAATATTTATCTTTATTATAATATTTATATCTACATCAATTTATTTATATGTTTTGTCTATATTACAGTCTTACAAGTTGTGGGTTCTACAACATTTTACTAATTAGTTGCAAAATGGTTACATATTTATTTCTATAAGGTCTTTTAAGGAAAAACTATCTAATTAAGAAATGGCACAAAATATTTTTTCCTTTTAAGCTAATAACTAATCACTTGTGCCCTGCAATGTGGACTTTTCTGTTTAATTACAAAACTCAAACTCATGAAGAAGAAGGTAAAAAAGAAGGACTAGTTTCTGCTTAAAACTTTTATCTTGTTTCATATATATTACTATATTACAATCTATATTATATTACTATATAAAATTACGATGTATATTACTATATATGCTACCATATATATTCTACTATATAAGTTATATTATATTATATTATATTATATTATATTATATTATATTATATTATATTATATTATATTATATTATATTATATTATATTATATTAATTATATTATATTACTATATTCTGAGTTTTCTACTCTGTGATATTACACACTTCTAATCAAACTCCACACCCACAATCCCAGTTCTAGCATTCCGTTTTCAAAGCTTTCTTTGCAGACTCAGGTTAAATGCAGTGTTCTGTTGAGGGTCTGTACTTTTTAACACAGAAAATCTAAAATTTGCAGCATCCAGGGTTCTCACAGTGTGAGTTTTGGTAGGTTGGCTGGAGGAAAATCATGGTCAGAGCTTTTATCTGAGCTCACTTTTCTTTGTCACCTCACCTGAGATGAGCCATGAGCAGGGAACCCCCGTGGCTGTAACTGCTCTGGTCAAATATGGGTGGAAAAGCTGCAACAGTCAGTTCTTGCCATTTTTAATGGGATAGAAACCCTTCCAAAATCCCTCTGTAGATTAATAGAATTTAAAGCATGGAATGTGTGCCAAAATCAAGGTAAGGGACAGACTTTGCATCTCCTGGGAGAATTTAAAACATGAAAGTTGTGAAATGAAATCACCAACTGAGGAACAAACTTTGGCTTTCCAGGGAGAATTTAAAACATGAAATATGTGCTGATATCACCAGGTAAAGGACAGACTTTGGATATCCAGGGAGAGTTTAAAACATGAAATATGTGCTGAAATCAACAGTTAAAGGACAGACTTTGGATATTGAGGTAGAATTTAAAGAGGGGAATATGTCTTGGAATCACGAACTAAGGAACAGACTTTGGATATCCAGGGAGAATGTAAAACATGAATACGTGAAATGAAATCACCAACTAAAGGACAGACTTTGGATATCCAGAGAGAATTTAAACATGAAATATGTGAAATGAAATCACCAGCTAAAGGACAGACTCTGGCTATCAAGGTAGAATTTAAAACATGAAATTTGTGAAGTGAAATTGCCAACTAAAGGACGGACTTTGGATCTCCAGGGAGAATGAAAAGAGGGAATATGCCTGAAATCAGCAGGTGAAGGACAGACTTTGGCTATCAAGGTAGAATTTAAAGCTGGGAACATGTGCTGAAATCAACAGGTAAGGGACAGATTTGCCTTTTCATGTAGAATGTAAAACACGAATATGTGAAATGAAATCACCGACTAAAGGACAGACTTTGGATATCCAGGGACAATTTAAAACATGAAATATGTGAAATGAAACCACCATGACTTTGGCTTTCCAGGGAGAATTTAAAACATGAAATTTGTGAAATGAAATCGCCAGCTAAAGAACAGACTTTGGCTATCAAGGTAGAATTTAAAAAGGAAAATATGCCCTGGAATCACCAGTTAAGGACAGATATTCAGGGAGAATGTAAAACATGAAATATGTGAAATGTAATCACCAACTGAGGAACAGACTTTGTCTCTTCAGACAGAATTTAAAACATGAAATATGTGCTGAAACCACCAGGTAAAGGTAAACCATCTGTAAAGGACAGATATCTCCCTGGATATCCAGGGAGAATTTAAAGCTGGGAATACGCCCTGAAATCACCAGGTAAAGGACAGACTTTGGCTCTCCAGGTTTAGGTATTTCCAGGATGAGCACCTAAAGATTTATCCTTGCTTAAGAGGACAACTTAAAAAGTTATGATGTGGACTTGGCAAGCTTGGTACTAAAATATAAGTCTGAGACAACGTGCTGGGTTTTTTTTGGGTGTATTTAGGGGTTCTAGGAGCTGCTGGAAGTTTCTCTTGGGTGTTTTTGCGGTCAGAGGGTGATGGAGCTCCTGGGGAGGGAGGCACAGAGCGCTGTTAAGCTGATCTTTCTGGGGAAAGGGAAAGGCTGAGTGGGGTTTAAAACTGATCAGGAGCCGATAGCAGCGCACAAAGCTGGGGATGAAAGCAGCAGGGCTGGCTGGAGGTCACTTTTCATCCTGCAGGATCATTCCTGCCTGCCGCAGGCTCCGCAAGGCCGGCTGGCCCCCAACATCTGCTTTAGCCATCGCTTCCAAAAACAAAACAATATCCCCCCAGCGCTGGTGGTACAACAACACAGCCCCCTCTGCTCCCTCCTGATGGAGGGAAGTTCCCTGCCGGGCTGGAAACCCTGCCCGGGGTCCCGGAGTTACCCCAGCCCCACTGGGCTTCCCATGAAATCCTCGGGAAGGATTCCAGGGACAGGGAATGGATCCTGCTGCAGCCAGGAGAGTTCCAGCAAAGCCCTGAGCAGGATTTGGGGAGGAACAGATCCTGCAGGAGGGTTTGTCCATGGTCAGATGGGCAGGGGGTGGCTTGGAGCAGTTCAGAGCAGAGGCAGATCCCGATGGATCCTCCGATGGATCCATTGCACACTCGGTTTAAACCCTGTCGGAATCTGAGGTATTGGTGATCCCGAGATTGTAGAAAGTCTCTGTCTGTCAGCCCCGCTGCCAAAGCAGAAGCCATAATTCGTCTGTGCTGGTTTCAAGGTTGTTTATTCTGTTTGTCTCTAACATGTTCTGCTGCCCTGCCGCAGCTCTGTCCTGCAGGGCAGCGTGTGGGGCTCTGCCCTCAGTGGGATGGTACAAACATTAAATACCACAAACTACCTGTGCTGGATTTACAATAACGTGCCAATATCTGTCACCTACGTTGGACAGTGTGTCCCCAGTCTGAACCAACAGAAAAATGCCAACACCACAGTGAAACATGGAGGGCATGAAGAAGGAGAAAAAGGACAAGGCACACCCAATTTCCTCCAGCTTGTCCCCTTTGGACCCCTAATCTAGAAACCTAAAATTTTACTTTTGCACCCGTGCCACACTTAATTATTACTTATATCAAACACTCAGAGCTGGTAATTCATCCTGTAAGATTGAAAACTCTTTTCCATGGGCAGAGATCACAGTGTCTCTGGGGGCTCTGTCCAGGGGGGTTCCTGACCCCTGCCAGGGTCCCAGACCTGCCAGGGCAGCCACAGGGAAGCTCTGGATTCGCATAAAGCCCAAATTCATTTTGCAGGACCCTGACACAAAGTGCTGGGTCTGGGCTGTTCTCTCTATGCAAGGCAGAGCTGAGGTGCCAAAAACCTCCAAAACTGGAATTTCAGTCCAGCTCTAATTCCAGCATCACCAAGAGAAGAAAAATCTGGTAAAGAACTGGAAGAAGTGCTGTCAGGTGGTGAAATAAGGGGAGGAAAGGCAACCCAGCAGACAGGACTCATCCAAGAGTGGTGCTAAAAGAGGACAGGATTTATCCAGTATCTGCAAATCTCTCCAGACAAGAATTGTCAGATCTATGGAGGAGAGGTGGATTCTGCAGGGATGAGTGTGGGGCAGTGTCAGACCTCCTCATGCACAGCTCCTTGGCATTGCAGCTCTCAAGGAGCTGGAGAGGGCAATCCAAAGTTAAAAATCCTGGAGAAAATGGCTTTGGCAAACCAGATTTTCACTGCAGAAGGCAGCCCCAGACTCAGGATGGGAAAAGAATGAAAATGCTCTGAAAAACCTGTTGACAGCCTGGGATAAAGTGCAACTTGTGCTGGTGGATTCCAAATTTCAGAGTATCAATTCTGCTTTTTGCCTTGCTGTTTAGAAGAAGCCCAAGGTGTTGTTGCCTAGCACATGCCTCACCAACCAAGTATAATTTCCTTTCAGAAGACTTTCAAACACTTGAGACTTTCAAATACTTTTTTTCCTCCATTGCATAGATCTAAATATCACATAAGCTGCAAAAAATATTAATAACTTGTAAGAAAAACATTGAGATCAGTCTGGAGCTTGGACATTACCCAGTGCAGCAGACCCAGCAGATTTCTTATTTCATTTCTGACACCTTGCTGAAGTTCCCTGCCAATTTAGGACAGCTGTGCCTGCATCCAAATCTCACCAGACACACTTGAGAATTTGTTCTCCTACCCAAAAGATTATTTCTGAGCCTGATCCAACCTAATGCACTCAAATCCAAACAGGCCAGTTGGGGTGAAATCCCAGCTTTCCTTGGTGACTGGAAGCAGCCGTGGCCTGGAGTGGAGAAGAGGTGCTAGCAATTAGCAGTCCTGCTAGAATTTAAATTCTCTCCTCATATGATTCATATTTTAACCATTCTGTGGCTCTTTTTCAAAATCCTGGTCCCAGTCCACGTCCTGAGGTTCTCCTGAGTGCCAGGGGAGCTGGGGGTGCTTGGCCCTGCCTGTCCTGGGGGGCTGAGCTGAGCTCTGAGCTCCATCTTCACCACAGATTTGGAGACACTGAGCAACACTTTGTTGCTTTTTATTGGGATTATTTCGCAACAAATCAAAACTCCCATGCTAGGCGTTTACACAGCCTTTGACATAAAAAAAACCAAAAAACCTTCACAAGCAGTCAGGGTGATCACAGCAGAACAAAAATCATGATGATATTTCCTTGACACCTCTGTTTGAACCCGAGGATGTTCTCCCAGCCCCCAGGCTTGCACAGCTCCATGCAGCAGCTCTGTTCCATTGGAACAGCAGTGTTAAAATTGCCTTCCCAAAATCACCCCCAAATCTCTGCACTCTCAAGGACTGGTCCTTGAAAGAGAAAGCAATAATCAAGAGGAAGCCAGCCAGCTATGGCTCAGATTTTATAATGTTTCCCTGCTGTTATTTTCACCACAGGCTATTTTATATTCCCCACCTCTTCTGTTTTTTTCCCCCTCCATCAAGTTGCTCTTTAAGGTCACATCTGTTGGGGGCTCATAATGATTTTTATGACAACTTTGCAGGGAAGGGAAGCACTTGGACACAGAGGTTCATGTCAGGGGGGACTTCTCTCCATCCTGAGGCATTTTCTCAGTTCCAGCTCAGATGTTCTACTGACCAAGAAAATCCTGCCTTAACATCTGGGTGTAAAAATGTGGATGGCAGAGGAAAAACTTATCTGCAAAATTCCATAAATTTGCCTTTTGTTGAAAATCAGACTTGAAGGTGGAGAAAGTGAAGCAAGGAAAAGTAAAAATATTTTATAAGTAATTCCCGGGTTTTTACCATATTTTTAAAGGCTGAAAAAAGGCTTTTGAGAAGTTTTTTAGCAAGCTCTGCTGTGTATTGCTTAACATCTCCAGCTGTGTGTGTGTATTTGGAGGAAAAGAGGATTGCTCTTCTCTTTCTTGGTATTATTTTATGTTGGAAACTTCTGCCTTATCAAGAGCTGCCTGACAAATCAGAAAATCCTTTCCAGCTGCCCCAGCCACTAAGTGACATCAGAGCACGAGGTGGGTGCTCTGTGCCGTCATCGTGGGCTGGTACAAACAACAGAATTATGAAACCAGCAACAGGAATTTGGTTTTGGGTCTTGTGGGGAGACCAAAATCTCATTTTCTAGTGCCTGGTGCATTTACTACAAATACAAATACAAATACAAATACAAATACAAATACAAATACAAATACAAATACAAAAACTGGGCTGCCTTTAATACAAATATTGGCTGATCTGCTCCATGAACAATCGTTTTGTCATTGGATTTGGGAATTTTTGTAGGTTTTTTTGTCTTGGACAAAGCACACATTGGATTTTCCTCATTAAGAAAATGAAGATATTCTCCTGATGAGAATGTTCTCCTGGTGAACAGAGCCCTGCTGAGACTAAAGCTGTGGAGTAGAAACACGAGAAACATCCATTGCCATGAAATTGTGAGGAGGGTGATTCCATCACGCACCTTGTGCTGCCCATAGAATGGTGAATGCTGGAATGCTGGAATGTGTTCCACCTTCTGTGACGTCTCTGAGCACAGGGTGGTGCATCCTCGAAACATCCCCAAGGTAGTTAGGCATTAAATTAATATTTTTGTGTGTGCTGGAAACATCTCTCCTTTTAGGAATGCTGGGAAAATTTAACAGAGCACAAAGATGACTTAAAAAAAACAAAAAAACAAAAAAAAAAAAAAAAAAAAAAAAAAAAAAAAAAAACCTCCATGGAAAACCCACTGCAGACTTTCTGTTCTTAAAGAAGGCTTATAGGAAAAATAGGGGAAAACATTTAGAAGGGCCTAAGACAAAGAGGAATGGCTTTAAACTAAATTGGGATAGATTTAGACTGGATATAAAGAAGAATAGTTCAAAATGGGGGTGGTAAAACATTAGCTCAGAGAGGTGGTGGGTGCTCCATCCCTGGGAATGTTCAAGGTCAGGGTGGATGGAGCTTTGAGCCATGTGGTTTAGTGGAAGATGTTCTTGGGATTGAACTAGGTGGCCTTTAAAGGTCACTTCCAACCCAAAACACTCCATGAATCCATGAAAATTCTACTGCAGGAGATCTTCTGCCAGTGTCTTTCCACCTTATTTTGGGCACAGTTTTGTCTTGGGGTTCTGAAGAACTCTTCCATCAGCTCTGAGCAGAGAGCTGTTGCCTGTCTCTCCACCAGCTACACAAAACCAGCCCAGCTCTGCTTTTCTCAGCGCTTTTTGGCTTTTCCTATTCCCTATGATTCTCACAAAAATTGCTACCAAACCATAAATCCACTATTCTAAACCCATTTTGTACCAAGGCAAACAACATCAGAAAGAGCAGAGCGGGAGATTTCCAGGTTATTCCTGTCCCGGGCAATGTGGGGAAGATCAAATTGTAGAAGTGCTGCAGGAAATTCTGGCAGCTGACTTTTGGGAGCTGCACTGGGAGCTCCATCAGTCATGTTCAGCCTCCTGCGGGTGCATTTTTCAATTGATATCCCTTAAATAACCTTAATTACGTGTACGTTCGAGTGCCTCATCCAGCAGGGAAAATTGAGGAAGACACTTATTAAAAAGAGGCACCAGCACATGTGGTATTATTTTTACAGCCATCCCGTGTGTTGATATAAAGTATTACATTTGAGTCAAACCTCATTTGGGTGAGCAGTTGAAGTGAAAGCCGAGCTGCTCCGCGTCGTGGCCGCCCAATTAGCGCGGTGATTAGCCCGGGCTAATATCAACAGAGCCAGGTCTGGGGCAATGTGACAGTTACATCACCACAGGCTCCCGGCCACTTCCTGAGGCTTCCTGCCTCCAACCCCGGGAGCTGCAGCCTCCAAAGGATCCCTGAGGAAAAGGAGAAATTGCGTTGCGGGAACAGCCAGCGAACGTTGTCTCGCGGAGGCCGAATAGTCGTGCTGACAATTCACCCCCAATTTTCCAATGTTTCTTCCCAATTTTCCAAAGTTTTTTCCCAGTTTTCAAACATTTTTCCTGCACATCCCATCTGTTGTTCTCAGCGACTCCTGCTGGAAAGGCTGAAGAGAAATTGTTTGTTTTCACTGAGGTTTTGCTCGACTTTGAATGCGAGGTATTGCTCGAGCTACTGAATAGTGGTTTATGCTGATAAAAGCAGCCTTGAAGGTGCACAGGGATATTTATTTGTTTTCTTTTGCCAGAAAAAAAAAGCTGGTTAAATTCCCAGTCATTAGCAGAACACGCTTGTTGCTTCCGTAGAGGGTTTACAAATAATTCTTTTCAGAATCCCCGTCCTTGATGATCGTCTGTGGTTTGGGACTTCTCTCCCTTTTCCCTCTCAAGTATTGCCAGGAAACCAAAGCTGGCTCTGTCTTTATCTACCCCTGGACAAGAAAGTTTATTTTCTTTATTTTTTTATGCTTTGCTGTAAGTTGATATTAGTTTTGAATATTTTCACCCTCTCCTTCCATCCCGTTTTGAACTTTTTTTCCGCAGCCTCCATGGCTGCCCTTCCAATGGTTTTATAAATCCACAGGATCTTCCAAAGTTTTTTGGCTTAAAAGGAGAAAGAAGGAAGAATTGTGATTTAGATGTGTTTAAACATAGCTAGAAAAGTCTGATTTTAAAAAATTTGGAGCGTCTGCTTTTGGGAAAATAGGTGTTATGAAGAAAATTCCAGCTGGGTGTCTGAAAGTGGGAGCATTACCATTCCTCTTTGTATTTTCTTATATATATTTGACTCAGTTCATGTACAAAGACCCAAATATATATATGAGAGAATTGTATATATAACTCATATGTAGGACAGAATTCCATATATAGATTTATGGAAATTTTTCATGGCAGGAGGTTGTAGCCTATAATAATTTGCTGTAAATTACTCCGTGTTCTGGACTGTTTTTTGCTGATTGTGTTGACAAATTATCCTTGAGAGCAGGGTGGGTTTGAAGAGGAATTGGTCAGTGTCCTTTCCCAGGAATAAACCCCTGGGAAATGTGGGAATGGGTTCCTAAAAAGCCATTCCACAGGGATCTGAGCAGGTTCTGGTGGAACATTCAGTAGCTCCAGGAAGCGCAGCCGCTTCCTTTTGCATTTCTAAAACCTGGATGATGATGGGCATGTCCAAACCAAGGATGGCCCAGTCCTGACACCAGGGTGAAATTTGGCAGTGGCGAATCTGGGCAACCACAATGAGCCATAAATGTATTTTGGAATAACTCTGGAATAACCAGGGTGGAGGATCTGCTCTAGATTAGCATTAATGCTGCTCTGCGTGTCTGGAATTTATTTTCCATGTTTTTTCCTTTCCAGGTTCCCTACCCAGCTCCATCTTGGACTCTGAAATTATTTGCTCTAGAAAAGCTTCTTTACACTACTGTATTTAAACTATTTTTTTATTTTTGTAATTAATTTAATCCTAAATTTTTGGGATTCTCTTCCATGAAACAATGGGCAGTGGATTTGATCCAGTTCCTTTTGGTGATTCCATTTGCATTTACCTTTGGGATGCAGAGTGAAGCCAGAAATACATTGAAATACAGACTCAGAAAAGCACACAGAGAAGGAACTCAGGTACCAGTGCAAACAAAATTAATTTACTTTATTAATTTGTAATCTGTACGGATAACTAATTAATAGAATTTAATAATTTGCATTTTCTACGTAGGTTTTAGTCAGTGTTTTTATGAACGCCCATCTGCATCACTCGCAGTGAAACATTTCCTTTTTCCCCCATCTACAAACACCTTTTTAAACACATAATATATTTAATTTAAGAAGAAATTCTTCCTTTTCTCCACCCCCAAAGACCTCCTCTGCGGGATATCCTTTGGTGAGACAGGAAGCCAAGAACTCAGCCTGGATTCATGGCATGGAATGGCCAAAAATCACTTGAAACCCACCAAATAATTTTGTTTAGAGAGTTGCTGAGTGTGTTTTATTGCCAGGCATCATTCCCCATTATCCTGGAAATGCCCAGGAGTGGATTTTTCCCCCCTCCCTGCCCCAAGCTGACATTGACTGAAACCCTTCCATGAGGGGAGTTTATAACAAGAGCAATGAGGTTGTTGCTCTCCGTTCAAACACATCCCCCTTCATTTCCTCTAATTTTATGCAATGTAAATAAATCCTCCGTGGGGCTGGGAGGCTACTGGAAAGCTCGGAATGCTGCTCATGTGTTCCAAATAAGGCACTCCCAAAAAAAGCCATGCCTGGGGGCTGAGGAAGGGAATTGTCAGTGGTGGAGGAGAAAGGTCGAGGGGTGCAAGTGGGCTTTTTCCTGGGCTTGTCCGAGGGGATAAACAGCAGGGCAAGAAATGCTCTGCTCAAATAAAACAAAGCAAAAAGGGGAGGAAAATCGATGGCTCTAGTGGGGGATGGCAGGTTTGGCTAAACCCAACTGCTCCCTCAAACTGGAGGGCTTGGTTTAACGAGAGAGGTGCTTTTCTCTGGTGGAACTCCTGCTCTTCCTGTTCCTGCTGCCCTCCAAGCCATGGTCTGGAGAGATTTGTTGCCCACACCAACTTGGAAATGGGTGGAAAATGGAGCTAGAGTCTGCTTTCACAGGATTAAACCTGTTCCATTCGCTCCTAAGTGGTTGGAAAACCTCACTATGAACAAGAATGGGCAGTTTAATGTGTTTTACTTGCAACCACAGTAAAAACCAACTGCACTCAACACAGCAAAGATGTTTTCATTCAATCTGATGCCTTTCAAGTCCAAAATTCAGCCCTTGGAGTCTCTCTTTGTCCATATAACTGGTTCAGACACCCAGATTTGGGGGCATGTACTACGTGTCAGTTTTCCTCAGTTATAATCTGGTCTCCAGTTGAAAGGCAAAATAAGAATAAATACAGCCCTAGAAATTGGAGAGAAGTTACTCACAGGAATATTTCCCCCATCACAAATAAGCCTTCCCCTCATGCACTCAAACTGGCAAAATTAAGATCGAAAAGATGAAAAGCATTTAAAGATGTCAAACAAAAAGTTTAACCCAGCAGAATGGTGTCTCTTGTCTATTCCTAAATTGTTTAATGTAAGGCACAGCCTGCCTTTAATTTTAGTTTTTTTGGCCGGCTGCAAGAATTTTAAAGAGATCCTAATGATCCCTAAATCACAGATAACTGGAGCTCGAAACCCCCAGCTCTGCTCTCCTCATAATGTCATCCCTTGCCAGCTCTCTGTCGGGAGTGATTTTCAGTCAATTTGATCTTCAATAAATAACAGCCTGGGTAAACAGGTGAACTCACAGCAGAATAATCCTCCAGCCCTGCCCCAACCCTCCCAGCCCCAGGGCCAGCAGGAGGGACACTTATGGGATTGGCAGCCCCTCCAACGGGGTCCACTGCACTTTTCCAAGGGCTTAAATAGCCCTCAAGTGTGATTTTATCCTCTAAAACATCCTAAAATATGACCACATCCTAAATGCATTAAAGATTGTTCCAGGGCCCCTGTGGTTAAATGGAAGAACCAATATCCTTGAGTAGCTCTACAAATAGGAAAAGAAAACGACATCAGATGTATGTGCTGGTGAATAAAGGGATTGGGATATTTTACTTGGGGTTGAGGGAAGAATAGGGGATGTTTTGCCAATATTCAGGTTAATTTCTTGCTGTGGTTTGGGACAGAAAAAGGATAATGAGGACTGATCAAAATGAGCCAGAAAGGATCATGCAACGCCTTAATTCCTGAGGCTCTTGAGGAACAGCTCAGACAGATAAACAGGCAGGCTCCTGCTTCCCTGAAGGCTGCTCTTTGTCAAATTTACACCGAGGTTTTTATCTGATGAGAACTTAAATTGTCCTTAAATTTTCCCTCACTGCAGATTCCACCCTGAGGAACATTTGCTGTGATTTCCTTGGAGTATCCCACTGAAATAACTCATTTTTCCCTAATAGCTCTGCTAACTCGAGGTCCATCCTGTAACACATCAGAGTTCCAGAGAAGTTCTCATGGAGAGAAAAGATTAATAGAAGCAGCTGATGCTTTCAGACAGGTTCAGTTGACCTAAAATCAGATACAGAGAGAAGGTTTTATAGACTCATTCTTCTCTCTGGATATTCCTTCAGTGCAAATACATTTCACCTCGTTTTCAACTTAATGTCATTGCGTTCCACTTAATGTCATTGCATTTGACATGAAGAGCTGTTTCTAATTAGGGTTTTATGAAACTAATCAGCCCAGCCAGGTAAAATCCAGTCCAAAGGAACAAACTGGGCCTGTCTGTCTGGAGGACTCTCTGGACTCTCTGCTCTGTCAAACCCTATAGGATGTCAAACCCTCCAGAGCAGCTGAGTGAAACCAGATGTGCTCAGACTTTGTCCAGCGCTGCCTTCCACGTGGATGGAGCAGGTGTTTGGTGATTATCAGAGCCCAGGCTGGAAAACCTGGCCTGCTTTTGCCTTCTCAGAGGCTTCCAGACAATGTGGCTGAAGGAGAAAATGAGGCTGGTTCCCACTCAGCGCTTGAGGGCTGTAGGTCTCACTTCACTCTCCTTCCCACCTCATATTCCTTTCAGGACTTTTCCCCTTTTTTTGGGCTGAGGCCCAGCAATTTGCTGAGCAAGGCATCCAACGCAGCAGTGGGACACAATCCAGTGCAGTGGGTGGCTGCAGAGTGCTGGGGAGAAATTTGAACTGGCCTCGCTAATAGAAGATTCCTAAAGCCAGCTATAAAATCATTCTTTCTTATGTTTTAAAATTCCTTCCCTAATTTTGTCAGAAATTCTGAAATTTGCTCCTAAGTTTGAACTTGCTGGTCTTACCCTGCGAGTCAAAAATTTGGCTTATGAACTTCTTTTTGATCCACCCTCTAATTGCCATTCCTGAGCTGTGCAGCACATCTGAACTTCCTGGAATCCTTTTTTGGCAGAGAACCAGAAGATTTGACATCCACTGGAAAAAGAAATTCATAACTTCTTGAGTTTATCCTGGGCTGGAATTGTTCAGAAGGAGAAAATCACAAAGTTAACAAAGGTAAAACAACTGTAAAAGTGATAATTCATCCCTGGATCATTAATTCAGTTTTAAACCACAGTCCTTTGAACAACTCTGTAAAAAGTTTCACTGACTTCAACTCTTTCTAGGAGTTTATTTGCAGTGTATGACTGTGTTTAATACTGAAATGCATCTAAAGGAGTGGTTAGTGAGGAAAATATGGTGCTGAATATCAAATACATGACAGAAAATTAATATATAGCATAATTCAAACTAGATTGACAGAGGAATAAATTGATTTCTTTATATAGACTTGCTCTTTTAAACCTGAGGCATTGATTTTCCCATTGGTTTCATTGGAGATTAATGTAAAGGAGATAATTTTTTACTAGAAACCTCATTAAAACTTTCTCACCACTGAGAGGTATCTTTTTCATAAAGAAAAAAAAATTCTCTTTTTTACTCTTTTTTTACAGAGTGGCATCTTCTTTTCTCACTTAAAAAAAAATAAAAAGACTGTTCTGCAAATGTAGAACTCCGGTCCTTTTGTACAAGAGGAAACAATTCTGTTTGGATTTCCATCCTTTGAATGAATCCCAGATTCATTCATCCTGAGATGCCCCAACTTTCTGGGGTTGTCAGGGAAAAGGAGCAGAAAAAGGAGGAGAAGAAGAAGGAGAAGGAGAAGGAGAAGGAGAAGGAGAAGGAGAAGGAGAAGGAGAAGGAGAAGGAGAAGGAGAAGGAGAAGGAGAAGGAGAAGGAGAAGGAGAAGGAGAAGGAAAAGGAAAAGGAAAAGGAAAAGGAAAAGGAAAAGGAAAAGGAAAAGGAAAAGGAAAAGGAAAAGGAAAAGGAAAAGGTTTGGGTCCCAGCAGAGAATCCTCCCCGTGTGCTTTCCCTTTTATCCCTGGATTCCTTCCCCAGTCCCTGGATCCAGCTCCCTTGGCTGTTTTGTGGCCAGGGAATGGATTTCAATATCAGAAGAGGTAGGGACAGGTTGGAAACTCGAGCTGGATGTCAGAATTTATCTCCCTGCACAGCTGATGAGATACTAGTTTAGAGCTTGGGGAGGGGGAGCTTAATATTTGCCATAGAAAACAGAAGGAACACAAATTAAAAAGAGACTTTTTCTTGTTTTCCTTTAAGGAAGGGGTTCGTGAGAACAGCCAGCACTGCCACAGATAAGAGAATAATCATTTGTTAACAGATATTCTACTGTGGTAAAAAATATTGGGGGTTGTTTGGGCTTTTTTTATTATTATTCCAGTAATACCTTTGCTCCCTGTTGCTCTCCAGCCTGGCTCCTTCCAGGAAAATGTAACCCAATCATGCCATGTTTCTGAATTCCCTGCCATAGCCATGAGCCCTGACTCAGGCTCCTACTGAGCTCTTCAGATGATGTTTAGCGCTGTCAGCTTTGGTTTCTGCATAACTTTAGCTCAGCAGCCCAGGTTTGGGCTGAGTTGAGACAATCCCCCTGCAATCTAGAATACAACAAAACCCAAACCCAGAGTAATCCATGAAATAGCTGTATTTTTTTTCTCAGTGCTCCTTGTTTCTGCTGCTTCCTCCATTTCCTTGCCAGGTTGGAACCCATTTCCTGCAGCTTCTGAGCCCTCCCTGACCCGTGTGAGGTGAAGGGATGAGATTTTCCATCCTCAGAGCAGGGAATGTGTGCGCCAAGGCACAGCAAACTCTGATTCTGGCACAGGAACAGCTCCTGGGGCACCCAAAGGAGGCAGGTACAGCTCAGCTCCCACCAAAGAGGTTCCTCTTGCACATCCACCCTCAGCCTTTGGAATATTTTGGCTTCCACTGGAGCTCAGCACCTCGGCTGATGTTTCATGGAGAACAAAAGCTTCTCCTACGAGCTCTTCATCCCCAAAAGAAGAGATTTATGCTCATTGTCACAGCTCAGGACCCCCACCATTGAGCAAATATCCACACTGTGGATGAGAAGTGCTGAAAATCCTGCTGGAATAACCAAAGGAGAAACCATTTTCTAGTCAAAGCTCAACTTTTGCTAATAAAGATATAGGGGCTCATCAGAGCTGTTCCCAGAGCTGAGGTGAAAGTTTCATTTTTCTCCTTGTGGGCAGGGTTCATGTTCGTTTCCTGCTCATTCAAAAATAGTTCCACTTTGCTGGAAATAAAGGGAGAAAAATATAATTTTAAAATGCTAAAGCATCACCCTCCCCTCAGGCATTTGCCAATATTTGCCCCTCAAATGAAACTTTAGGAGGATTTGGAGAAAATGAAACATTCAGGAGAATCAGGCAAAGGTCTCTCTTCTCCTAAGTCACAATTTCTGTTTGTGGAAGGGTCTCCCAGCCAAATTTGCCAAAATTTTGAGCTACTGGACCCCACTCTATTTTTGACTAATCCTCTGCTAGCAGCTAGAACTCCCCAATACCTGGTGATCTAGCTAAAACCAGAAGTTTTGGTTTTTTAATAGTCTGCCTGAAAATTCCTTCTTTGCCAGTCTGGATTTGCAGCAGCCCTTTGATTTGCTGCCGTGCTGCTCATTCCTCTCTTCAATGGCTTCACACACTCCTGACTCTCCTCCTCCCTGTTGCAATAATCTGCTCATCTGACTTATGGGAGACTTCCAAAACCCTGCTCTGAGCCTTCCTCCTTCCCTTCCAAAAGACTTCAACAATCTCCTCTCTTTTTTTTGTTTCCTTTTTTCTTCCCCTGATTTTTTTTCTCTTTTCCTTACATCATCCTCGTGGCTCACATCCTTTCCCTCCTGATTCATTATGTAACCATGAATCTCTCTTCAAACACATCTGGGGATGGAGGGAGAAGGGGGTAATGGCTCTAACATCTGGCAGGATTATTTTGGTATTATCATTGCAGCTTCCTTCTATTTCTCCCGCTTCCCTTTTGGCACTGTGGCTGACAGGGAAATGTTTCCTTCCAGCTCTCTCCAGAGGATTTCAAGGAGGCTTTTTCCAGTGGGCAGAATGGAGAGGCCATGACTGAGGGTGTTTGAGATGCACAAAATATCAAGTGATGCTGTAATTTTTGGTGTTGATATCCTGGAATTCCCTGCTCTGAGAATAGTGAAGGTGAAGGGAAAAAAAAATGGAAGGAGAAATGGAAAAGAGAAGGAGAAGAAAAGAGGTGTTCCAGTGCCATCAGCACTGCTTAGAGCCACCACCACAGAGCCAAATCCACCAGGATCAGGTCCAAGGAAGTAACATTTAATAAATGAGAGAATGCTGAGATGGAAAATCCCCAAACCCTGAACTCATGTAGTATTTAGGGGCTGGATTCTGTCCTGTAAGAACAGGAACATGCCAGGTGTTCTGCATGGATTCCTCCATGCCAAACCCATGGAAAATTATCTGGATCAGTCCTGAGGATGACTCGGATTTGGTGTCACAGTAAATAAACTTTGCTACCTAAGGAATTCTCACTGCTGACATCCAATAATTTTTCTGCCAGTGAGATCTGAGATATTCCTTAACGTTAGCTGCCAACTCAACCCCCAAAAACAGAGTGTGAGCCTGGTGTCCAGTGGCCCTGGGGATTATTTGGCAATCAGAGATCACATCCAGCAGCCCAGCAGGAGAAAGGGAAAAAGGTAAATTCAGCATTTCCATCCTGGTCTGTGCTCTAGTAAATGGTGTTAGTAATGGTGGAGAGTTATTCACACACACCAGGATGACAAAAGGGTGTCTGGCAGATGGACAGGAATGAAATCCTGCTGTGCAGCAGCATTAATGCTCTTCAAGATTCATAGTTCAAGATTAATTGTCTCTTAGTGACTATTTTTATCTTATAAATTGCCAGGAAATTTATTTGGAGTTTAGTGTGATATGAATATGCAAAAGAAGCACTAAATGCACCTAAATTCTCCTTTTTCTGTTTTTTCATTGGTACCTTTGCTGTTTATCACAGACACTTGCTATAAAACCAGTGGTTACTCCTCCTCAGGGTCCCATCTTCGCTTGATCCCACTGCAGGGATGAATATTTTGATTTTATGAGGCTGAAATCATTTTGGGAAGAGTCCAGAGTGGTGTCACCAACCCAAATTCCAGGTGGGGGTAGAAAGAGTCTGTGAATGAGAATCTTCTCCTCATGCCCCACACTCACAGGGTGGCAAAGGAGACTGAGACCCTGAGCATCCCTGGAATCCATGTTTACATCCCCTTTCCCCCCCAAAAACAGTGACTAAATGCCACAAGACATAAAGCTCAGTGAATAATTAATACAGAAATTCACATTAAAGGAGTTCTCTGAGTTGCTGCTCATGAATTACCCATGAGCAGATGCTGATTCCCTCAATGTGCTCATTACTAGAGAGGATTCATTAGATAATTCCTGCAAATTCTTTGGCTTTTCCTTCTTGGAGCTCAGGTTCCTGTTAGCATCTAACATTAAAAATTCAACTATTTTGACTTTGTGCAGAAATGGTGATTTCTGTTTGGAAGTTTTCAGTCTCCAGGAACAATATTTAATGAATATGGATCTAAATTTTCAGTGCAAGGATTGAATGGATGATTTCCTGTCTTATTTCCATCCATGAGATGTTACAATGCCCTTCCTGAATCCCTTTGCTGATACACCCTGGTCTCCTGTCCCACAGTGGGTTCTACTCTAAATTAAACTCAACCTGGAGCTATTATTGGGACATTCCATTCCATTCCATTCCATTCCATTCCATTCCATTCCATTCCATTCCATTCCATTCCATTCCATTCCATTCCATTCCATTCCATCCCACTCCTGCAAACCACATGCCAAGGCAGCTTAAAACAAAAGCACCGTTCTCAATTTCAATCCTATTCAAAGAAAATAAATTTAAAAGACTATTCAAAAGGTCTTTTTAAACAAACTCCCACAGGATGTCTGTGAACTCGACAGCTGGGTGGAAACTGTTCCCATCTTTCAGGTAATTTCCAGGGTTTATCCAAGAGGGAGGAGATCCTGCCAACCTCTGTTGAAAAAAAACTGCAAATAAAATTATTGCATTTCTTTATTTCAAATTTCAATTTTTGATGTAGAGAAAGATTTGCTTCATTTCCT